TCTCTAACAATATTTTTCTGGAGGGGGAAAAGAGGTAGGAAGAGCCTAATTATATTCCAGTGACTTTTAATACACTTATAGAGTTACCTGTGTGCATTTATTACCTAACCTATCTTACTTTATGTGAGCTAGCACTAGATGCCAACAGAGTGGCTGAACACTTAACAGTATAAATTAATCCTCCCAAAGTGACAGAATTGTTTGAAACCATTCTAGGTAATTTATCAAGGATGTCCAGCAATATGCTGCTAACTGAAGAATAAAAAATAATAAGTAAAGAAATGCTGACTTAAGAATGTTGAAAAATCATTGTATCAAGCAAAGTTATTCTACTGAAATGCCAGTAAGTATACTATAAAAACTTAGCTGACTTCTCTGTACTTTGCAAATACACACCAGCCCCTTGGAAAAGTGACTTCTAACGTCTTGGTAAGAGTAAGCTGAGAAAAGCAAGATTGCTACAGGTAAAGTCAACTTGAAACTTCTTGGTCTTCAACTCCTTGGTGCTGTTGTCTTTGTGCTTTCATTTGAAAGTGCTCTCCAGGTAGCCATGAAATAGTTAAGCAGAGCTTGGCTAGAAGGGACTATTACATCATCCCATCTGACACAGAGAAGTCCATTAAGTCTCCTGCAGATAGTCTATCTAAAACTCTTTTCATCTAATACACAGGAAGCTATTTTAGCCCTTGGAGGTGGTGGGGGAGGAACTGAGCTCCCTCACATGTAAGTGGTGAGACATTAAGATGTGAGCAACACTGAAGAAACTATGGGGAACTCCTTAGAAGAAAGGTGCTCAAATGATCCCAACAAATCAATTACTTCCTAGCAGAGAAAAAACACATGGCTTTTGAGAAGATGAAGGTAGAGCATTTCCCTTTCACCCTCAAGGTGATGATCAGCATGACAAGTGTGACTAAAGCCACCATCAGCCAGTGACCTCAGAGTGAAGTTTCACCCCACTGAATCGATCTGTAGCTGACTGCCACCAAATGAGGTGATCCCAATTTCCCTCCCTCTTTCTCATGCTGGTCTGGTGCTGCTCCAACCTCTTATTGAGCCAATTCAGCTTGCTGAAGAGGCAGAAAGGCTACACAGCTTGTGCAAGGACAGCAGTTGGCATGTGCAGTCAAGAATGAGAAGCCAAGCTGGCAATGGGATCCCTTCCCATGGCACAGAGCTGTTATACACCTTGAAGCATCAGTGCACACAGTATTACTGGGTTAACTGTTGTTGGTCTAGGAACTGGTTATCAAATAACTATACTAAGTTAACCCAAACCTTTGGTAAGTACATGTTGGAAATAAATGCAAAAATAAGATAAAGATAAATGGCTAATGATGGTTCTTTGGTTTAAGGTCTGGCATGCCAAGGTCAGACTAAGCAATATCTAGCAAGACAACGTACTGCTTGAACATAGATGCTGTACTTGCTAATTTCCAATTACGTAGCAACTTTTCAAAACTGAAAAACTTGTCAAAAATCCTCCCTAGGAGACTGATTTCCAGATAATTCTATAAAGTAAATAATAAATCCTCAAATACTACCTTTAATACATAAAATGAAAAATATATACCATACCTACTTATCTTAAAACACTGTCTTTCCTATATAAGGTGTCTTATGTCCACCTTTAACTTTCAGGGTTTTCAACACTTAGGTGCTGAAAACAAGGCAGATGATTCATTAGGAGAACTGTATTCAGCAGAAACAAAACACAGACACACTCTGCCCCAAAGAGGAGGACCTTTCCACTGTAAAAGCCTCTTAGCCTAAAACAATGTTTTACATCTTCATAGCTTATAAAGAAAGGCTTCACTCTTACTAAGATTTTAGCATTGCTTGTCTAATCCTCCTGTCAGAGCATGTCTTTACCTGGTTTTTTTTTCTCCTTGGAACTGTAAATAGACTTTTCCTTTGAAGCTTTAAGTCCTTTCCAAATATATCTTCAATGTTTGCTCTGTTATGTAACCAGTATTTTCTTAATCTTAAGTGGCAGCATTTGGTTGTGTTCTGACAGAATATTGTAAGTAAATATGTAGTCCAAAAAGATATGAATATAACACTAGTGTGATGTGTGCGTATGAGCAAAAAAAGCCCCAAGGCTATGTGGAAGATGAACCATTTAATGATCTCAGTAAATTCTCAAGTGTTGCTGACACACTTGGAAAAGGGCAGCTCTTCTGGAGCCTCATCTATACAAGTGTAGAACTAATGAATAAAAGCCAACTCTGAGCTTTGGCCTGAAACAAAAAGGGCTTTTCCATTTTTTTCCTATGGTTACGAAGTTATTACTGCAGGTCTTTAAGTTGCCAGGCAAGTTCAATGCTGAACTTTTATTTCCTGATTTAAAGAAATTTCTATACCTTTTTTCAAAACATGAGCTTCTAACCACGGTATCTGATGAATGCGGTATTACTCTTTGAACTCCCACAGCACCATAATTCACACAATATGCTGCAGTAAAATGAGTAAGAACGGATAAAGAATATCATTTTCTAAATTTTTTTGAAAATCAAATTCTCAACAGCCTACTTAATGGAATTACATACAATGTATGTTGGAAATGGATAGATTTCACCTGCGGTTTCTAATTCATTCTTCTATACAGAACCTTAACTTTGGAACTGTAACTAACATTTTCAAGTTTATGCATCAAAAATCCCCTAACTTGATTTTGAATACTAAAGACTGATGACTAGTTGCCAGCTGACTGCTCAGTCTTAGCTTATAAGGATCCTTAAAACTTCTTCAGCTTCTATGAAATTTCAAGATGTGCTTTACCTTAATTTTTCCTTATACTCAAATGAACAAGTTTTTTTTTCCTTCATCTTTGAGCAGGCTTTGGGAAGACTACGATTTCAGAATCCAAATCACCTCCTTCATAGATAAATATTACCATCTGATTTTAAACACAAGTTTTGCAGATATTCAATTCCTAACTGGCCTAGTCTCAGTAGGGGAATCCGGCAAAACAAGTGGCACAAATAAAACAGTCTAGGAGTAGTCAATGTCCATGAGGGAAATGCACTGAGATAGACCAGCTACTGCAGGTTATGGACAAGGCCTGTAGTTGTTTCCTCTAGGGGAGCTGCAATAAACTGCAGTCTTACCAGAATCCCATCCACTTTATCAGGATAAAATCCCACTGCTCCAGCCTATATTGCCTAGATTATGCTCACTTTTGTGGAGCATTCCATTTCCCTCCACGCTTAGAATCACTATATGAATACAATGGCAACACTGAGGCATGAATGAACCCTTCCAATTACATCTATGGTCTTTCATACATCTCTAAAGAAGAGAGATATCTTCTTTCTCAGTAAGAAAAGAAAACTGGATCACAAAACCATGAAAACAGATTGAATTGAAATTGAATTGAAACCATTGAAAATAGATTGAATAAGCTGTAATAGCTAAAGCTATGATTAGTCAACCCTGTGATGAAGAAGAAACAACCTATTTCAGGCTTGTCAACTCTTCTTAAAAATTAAGGTCAAACTCAAGACTTGGAATCTTTTCCACCCCCAGCTGAAGTATTACCTCAGGCTCCTTTGTCATACTTAGGAGTGCTGAAAACAAGGCTAATATCCCAAAAATATGAGGGAAGTCACGCTTGAATGATTATGGGCATTTGACATACTTGGAATGGATAGTTTTACCCTGACAGGGAAACATACCTGTTGGTAACAGGTTTTTCAACATCTAATTATCATGCCAGTTTTACTAAGGATATGAGTAAGCTTTAAGTGGAATGACACTGTAGCAGTTGCAAGCAGCACACACTAACACACTCTGAAATACACTGACATGATAAGTACTGTGCATCACCAATTCAGGTATGTAATAAAGTATTATTCACATATTTTTTGTCTCTGACAAATAAGCAAAATGAGTAAATGAGAAACGGGTTTCTCATGAGAATTAAGTTCCTCAACTCTCTTGGAATTACATTTTACTATCTGCATTTGGTACACAAGAGTTGGCTTTGTTAAGATTATCAGTGTTAGTCTAGAGATAGAGAATTTTAAGGTGATTGACCTACAAAACCCACCAGCATATTTAGCTCTGGGAGGCCTCTAGCTCTCTTCCAGGCTCTGGTACTGTTAATACTACAGGCCCTGGTTCTTGTAACCTAATGTGCATAGGCTGATTATAACCATTAGGGCTTCTAATAGCAAGCCCATTATGCTCACGCAGGGTAGCCAAACTTTCCCCATTGTGCTGGTCACCACCAGGCACAGGGCAGCAACACAGCACGGGTCTGTCTCTGCCCGTGGAGGTGCTCAAACCTGCCCCGCCAGGCCTGGGAACGACTCTCTCCGCAGTGAGAAAACCGTTTGACAGCTCCTTCATCCAACAATTTACCTGACACCGAGGTGGGGGGGGAAGATACTACAAAGTTTCTTTTAAAAAAATATGCTGAATTTTCTGCAGGAAGTTTAAAAGTTACTCAATCTATGCAAGAACACAAATAGCTCCACTTCTTATTTAGATAAACGAACATCTGCAAGGAGTACGCAAGCAGCAGAGGTGATAAGAAGCAGGGGAGGTCGCAGAGAGGCAGAGAACTCCCCCAAGTTTATAACCGGGCGGTCAATACCGCTGCGGCGGCCCGGGGCCGTGGCAGTCTCCATGACACCGCAGGAGTGCAGCACTCTGGGAAGCGCCGCTTCCCTGCCATCTTCCTCCGGCCGCTCCCGGGCTCCGCGGCGGCTCCCCGGCCCCACTCACTCGCCAACCCGGCCGGGCTCAGGCCGGGGTATTGCGGACCGCCCAAGGTCACACCGCCGGCCCCGGGCCGGGCCAGGCCCGATCCCCCCGCGCGGCCCGAAGCGGGTCCCCGCCCGCCGCAGCCCCTCGAGGGCCGCCCCCCCGGCACGGGGGGCTGGGCCCGGGGCTCCCCCCGAGGGCGCCCGCCCCTCCCGCCGCTGCCCCGCAGGCCCCGCGCCCCGCCTGCCCGGCCGCGCACTCACCGCCGCGGGGACTCGCTGCCTCCGCCCGCCGGCCCGGGGCAGGCCCATGTCCGAGCGCGGCTGCCGAGGAGACGCTACGCGGCCATGGCTGCTGGGGCGGAACTCGGCGGCGACCGTCCCTCCCTCCTTCCCTCCCTGCCTCCGTCCCTCCCTGCCGGGCCCCCGCTCCCCGCGGGGGCGGGACTCTCACGGCCCTATCCGTGCCACGGGGCTGGGCTCGGGCCGCGGCGGGGGCCTGGCCGCTGTCCTGAGGGAGCTGCGGGGCGCGGCCGCGCTGGGTCGGGTGGGGACACGGACCCACAGCCGCCGTGGAGCTGCGGGGGTGGCGGTGGAGCGAGGAGGGGAGGGACAGGCGGGTCACCTCGGCCCAACGCCACCCGCCTGCCCCGGAGAGCGCGGGGTTCCCTGCCGTGCCCCGCCAGCCCTCGGGAGATTTGTTACCGAGGCCAAGCCACTACGAGGGGGCTCTGGGTCTGTCACATTCTGTGAGGCGTCCAGTCTTTGTATGGGCTGTTAAACTGGCCCACTGCTGCACTTTGCGATCAGGTGTGGGAAGGAAAGTCACCTCTCCTTATAAAAATATCCTGTTTTTTTGTCTAGAGAAAACTGGATTGACAGGGGACATCGTGAGTTTAGATCTCGGTTTTTGCTGTGACTGTTTTCTGTGCACCCTGTGATGTTATTACAAGCGTCATACCTCAGGGATGGCAGGTACGTGCTGACACACCGGTATAGCCATGCTGGGAGAAAGGAGGTGAGAGGCAGGTCATGCCATCGAGATCTTACACAAACAGAAAGATACTCTGTGCTGCCACAGTCCTGGCCTGCCCCCGAACTGTGTCAGTAGGAGGGGGAGGTTCAGTTACTCAAACCTACTGATCCATTTTGCCAATGGAAATGTCTCGTGAACTGAAGCAGTCTCCTTCAGCCTCTTTACAAAACAGGGAGGTTATGAAGCCAAATGAGAAAGCTGCCTGCCTCCATGTAGCCTTCCAAAATACTACCAATTCATTGCCCAGAAGGCTGAATTGTATCACAGCACTTAGTGGTACAGTAACGTTGGTTGGTACTGGGCACAGGAGAGGCTCAAGCAATATCCCCCATCTCTAATTTGCAGTGTGTGTAAGTGAGCAGGCATGTGAAAGGTTGTGGGAGAAATGAGAACAGGTCTATGTCGTTCATGCTGTGCAATTAGAGGGGTTAATACCAAAGTTTATATACTCCAACAACATTAAGCTGAACTGAATAATATTAATAATATCATGCTCTTCTAAGTGCCTTTTTCAGACCTGATCTATGTGTTTTAACCAGGATGGGTCATGCCAGAAAGTTACAATAGGATGAAAGGAGTAAGTCCACTACTGTCAGAGCTTGGGATCTAAGTCTCCAAATTAATGTTGTTTATCATACTTGCTGCTCTCCAAACTGGAGTCAGAGAGTTCCTTTTATTGTTTGTCTTATATGAAGAAATTGTGTCATAAAATCTTTGGTCTTACTTGTATGGGCAAACCCCAGCCATTTATCGAAAGGTGTTGGGGAGGACCTGCCTGTGCACTTGGCTTTACCCCGCTCCAGAACTTGTTAAAACGTGTTAATATGTCAGCTGCATTATAGCATGCTGTGGTTGCCCTGGGTTAGAACACATTTTCCTATCAGTAGGTATGTTCTTGTGTAGCAGTACTGAACAAATAAATAAAAGAATTTTAAACAGTAGAAATCAGTGTGCTTTTTAATAGAATGTATTAGATTATTTAGCTAACAAAAAACATTACTGTTTTCTAAAGCGGAGTAAAATAGAGGAGTAGAAACCAGGTCTTTTACAGATATAAAATGTGTTCCCACTTGCCTATACCAGACATCCAATGTCTCTCTCTTACATGTACTTTTGGTGAATCCTGTAAAAAAAATAGACATGATTATTATAATATTATTATATCATAATAATGAAAACTGATATGCAGTGCTAATGGACTAACTGCAGGCTGCATTCTTCACCTCTATGAAAGACGGTCATTAATACGGAAAGTTTGACTTTCCCATAGCACTGCAGCCAACACCACCAAGTGTTCCTGTTTGTTGGCACACGCCTGTGAGCACATTGTAACATTTTCTGTATCTACTGCTGCTGTATAAATGAAAAGCCGTAACAGGACAAGCTAAATGCTTGTTGAAAGACACAGACACTTGCCAACAACGAAAAAGAGATGTGCTGGAGGCTGGATTTAAGTTCTATGCCCTGGTGACAAGCAGCAGCCCAGAGGTGTTTGGATTTGTTCTCTGTTGCCGCCTTCTGGCTGAGCAGGCCCAGAAAAACCAGCAGACAAAAATTCCTGCCTGTAGCCCAACTCAAATCACAGGTATTGCAGCACCAGAGTGGGCCCTGCCAGCCAGGGGGATGTGAGCCCCACATTGTGCTCACCCTGGAGGGGTGCTCTGCCATGGGAATTCCATGGGAAATATAGCCTGCTCTCTTGAACTCAACGGGGCTATTCCAGCAGTGACTCCAGGAGCCGGTTCTGGGATATTTGTGAGGCAATTGTTGCTCCCTGGAATATGGTTATTTGCATTTTGTCCAAAGCTGAGTTAGGTAGGTCAAAAGCAGAAAATAATGGTTCAGTGCACAGTGTTGCTGCAAATAGTCTTCTGATTATCTAGAAGGTATTATGATCTCCAAACCAAGAGTGGAATTTTGTCGTTGGTATGTTTTCCTGAAAGATGTAGATTATGAGATTCACACTTCACAGGGGTAGCAGATTTATGACTCGGAATAGTTTTGGGGACAATGTGAGCGTGATCATTTTGCATTGTTGAAACAAAACTGAGAGAAACGTTTCAGGAGCTGGGCTGTCAGGTCCAGTGCCAGCCTGGGACTGAAGGCCAGAGACCTCTGACAGAGCAACAAGGTCTTAGAATCATTTTGGAGCTCTCATTCTATCAAATCCTATCTCTATGATCCCAAAGCTTCCCCTGTACTTGGCCACACCTTGAGTGCTCCTTAATTCAAGAAAGACATTAAGGTGCTGGAGTGAGTTCAAAGAAGGGCAACAGAGCTGGTGAACGATCTGGAGTGGTTAAGGGAGCTGAGGTATTTATCCTGGAGAAAAGGAGATTCGGGGGAGACCTCATCACTCTCTACAACTCCCTGACAGGAGGGTGTAGCCAGATGGGGGTCCAGCTCCTCTCTCAGGCAACAATGATAGGACTAGAGGATAGTCTTAAGCTGCACCCCAGGAGGTTTAGGTTGGACATTAGGAAAAATTTCTTCACAGAAAGGGTAACTAAACATTGGAATGGGCTGCCCAGGGAGGTGGTGGAGTCACCATCCCTGGAGGTGTTTAAGACTGGACATGACAGTGCCATGGTCTGCTTGACAAGGTGGTGTTCAGTCATAGGTTGGACTCAATGACCTCAGAGGTCTTTTCCAACCGAGTTGATTCTGTGATTCTATGTAAAGCCCTGCCCAGGGCAGGCAAGGCAGCGAAGCTGGTTCTCAGATAGGACACCCTCGCCTGGGATAAGAATTAGAGCCCTAGCAGCCGTGAGGAGGGAAGCGCAACCCTCGCCGCCCCGTGGCACAGGGGAGCCCAGGATGGCTACCCCTGTCCTCATTCCTCGAGCTGCCTCTCGGGAGGCCGCCCCCGTCCCGCCGCCCGCTCGGGGCCGGCCCTGCCCCCGCCGGGCGGGCGGCGGGACGGAACATGGCGGGGCCCCTCCAGCCCGCGCTTCCCCGCCTTTCCCCGCGGCGCCGCGCATGCGCGGTGCGCGGCGGCGAGGCCGTATCCCTCCGCGCGCCCCTTCTCCC